ATATCAACTAGTGCCTTTGTGATCCCTCCTCCTCCTCCTCCTCCCTCCTCCTCCTCCTCCTCCCTCCTCCTCCCTGTCATCCTTTCCTGATGGAAGAAATTGACATCCTTTCTCACTGCATTTCACATCGTCGTCCTTGTCCTGATCTTTGTCTCCCTTTTCCTCTCTTTCGTCTCCATCCTCCTCGTCCTCCTCGTTCCTCAACCACCACATCCTCCTCCTCGTCCTCCACCACCGCCACCTCCTCCTCCTCGTCCTCCACTACCGCCACCACCTCCTCCTCGTCCTCCACTACGACTTTTCCCTCCCCTCTTTCTTCCCTATTCTCGCATATTCGCTCACGCTCTTGGAAGGGAATCGCGAAACCTGCGGCAAAACGCTCTTCCCAATGGTCTGATCTGATCATCCTCCCTGCCTTCCTAGCTGGCTAACTGCCTGCCTGCCTGCCTGCCTGCCTGCCTGCCTGCCTGCCTGCCTGCCTGCCTGCCTGCCTGCCTGCCTGCCTGCCTGCCTGCCTGCCTGCCTTCCCGGCTCTCTCACTATCATCATCATGAGCAGGGGCAGCAGCATAGCAAGCGCCATCCGAAACCACGACGAGCTGCTTGTGCGGGGAGTCTTCCTCGTCCTCCTCCTCTTCACGGGTCAGAGCGTTCTGCCCTTCTTGCTATCGTTGACGAGGATCGAGCAGGTATGTCGCAGCTGAAAACTCTTTTGAGAAGGAAGGAAGGAGCAAGTGAATCGAGTGAGAACCTGCTCCTGCTCCTGCCCCGTTCCCTGCCCCTGCCCCTGCCCCTGCTCCCCACTTCTCTTACACCTCCTCCCCCTTGGCTCGCTCCTCCTCTGCCTTCCTTCCCCTCGCTCGCCTCAACCTTCCTCCTTTTCCACCTTTTCCTTGCAAGGGGTCTGAACGTCTTGGCAGCAAGTGCAACACATCTGAAGACAGACTGAAGTCTGTGCTATTTAAACTTCCAGAGAAAGAAGAGAAATGCCGAAACGACATCTGGGAAGGGAAGGAGTAGAAGGCAGGAGTAGAAGTAGGAGGCAGCAGAAGAGGAGGAAGGGAGGAGATGGGTGAGAGTGAGATGATGGGAGGTGAGGGAGTGAGTGAGGATGGGGATAACGATGATGAGGACGAGTAGGAGAAAGCAAGGATAAGGATAAGGAGGGGAAAAGGAGGAGGAGGAGGTAGAGGAGGAGGAGGAGGAGGAGAAGGAGGAGGAGAAGGAGGTAGACATTACGGCGAGACATCTAGATAAAGATACAAGCAGCTGCCCCCTCAGTGGAGAAGGGGAGGCAAGGCATCAGCTGCCATCTCCTCTTGCCCTTTCCTTGCCCCTCGCCCTCCTTCGCTAGTTTCCTCCTCGTGTATCGCTCGCACACCGTCATGAAGGAGCCTGGAACGACGTTCGACCCTCCCAGCACAAGAATCTCGTCGGAGGTCGCTACAGCAGATGCCCTGAGCAGAGCTTAGGAGGCTGAGGATAAGGCAAGGACGAACGAGGAGAGATAGGCTTGAGGAGGATATCGATATGGATGAGAAGGAGAAGAAGGGGAGGGGAGGGGAGGGGAGGGGAGGGGAGGGGAGGTTGAGTACCCTGCATGAGCAAAGAGGAGGTCCGGCTCCTTCCTCCAGTCCCTGCAAGCAGTTCAGCCATGCAGCGTGCGAGCAGCGACTTTCACATGTCAAAGGTGGGGTCAAGACTGTCAACATCCATCATGCCAAAGTCCTCTGAGTTCAACCCTCCTGCTGCATGCTCAGCACGGCAACAGACTCCTCAGTCTGTGTGAGGCACCGATGACGAAGAGTCGTCCCCGGAACGCCACCATCGCGGGTCCACTCCGCCTCTGCCGCAGTGAAGGCTCCTTCCTCCATATGCTGAGCGACCCCAGGGGCTGGAAGCTCTCCACGGTGTCGAGGTAGAGGTCTGCTCCATCTTTGAGCATCTTGTTGACCGAGACATCTGTGGTGCGCAGGGTGAGAAAAGTGGTAGGAGGAGGGGAGAGGAGCGGGAAGGGGGAGGAGTCAGAGAGGGGAGGAGGAGGAAGGAAAGAGAAGGGAGGGGAGGAGGAGAGTTACATGTGGAGACGATGTGAGCAGGGCAGAAGAGAGGGGAAAGGAGTGAGGAGGAGGAGGAGAGGGGAGGAGAAGAGAAGGTACCCTGTCCTCCTGCGACGTAGAACCGGCCGTCGAGCTTGCAGCATCCAAACATCGCGCGAGGGCCCAGCATGTCTGCCTCCCTCCTCCTGCAGCAGCGGTCAGGCTCCCCCCCAGACTCGCCTGCTACTTGCCACTTGCCCTCCCTCGGATCCCAACTCCTCACAGTCGCGAGCGTCCGATAGTTTCGATCTCTTCCTCCTACCACGTAGATTCTGTTCTGTAGCTCTATCGCCCCGCAGCCGAACAACGGCTCCGGCATGCGGCCCTCCAGGAACCACCGACCGCTCCCTCTGTCGAACCTCTCCACCACGTCGAGGGGATGGGTCGACTCGAGCCCTCCAAAGACAAGCATGCTCCCTCGCCAGGCGCAAGCGGCAGGATGGAGGCGGCTGAAACCCATGGACATTTCTATCCTCCACCGATCCTGACTGAAGCTGTAGCTCTGCAGCAAAGGCTGATCGGTCACGTTCACTCCTCGTCCTCCAGCCACCAGCACGTCAGGATGACCGTCATACCGGCAAGGAGGGTTGTCGAAGCTGTTGGCTTCTAGCTCCTCCAAGTACTCCTCGATGACGTTGTCAAGAGCTGCTCGGTCTTCCTCAGGAATGTCCTCGTCGTCGGAACTTAGCATGTCTGTCCCGCCTCCCTTGTCTCGGTACCTCTCCGCAGCCTCGATGGCCTCCAGCATGAACTGTGTCTGCGAAGTTTGCTGTTCCGTTTGCTGCTCCTGCTCCTGCTCCTGCTCCTGCTCCTGCTCCTGCTCCTGCTCCTGCTCCTGCTCCTGCTCCTGCTCCTGCTCCTGCTCCTGCTCCTGCTCCTGCTCCTGCTCCTGCTCCTGCTCCTGCTCTCCTCCTTCGTTCTCCTCTCCTTCCTGACTCTCATCTACGTGCATATCCGAATCACTGGCTGGATCGATTGCCCTCAGGTAATCAGACAACGACGGAAGGTAATCACCAGACGATGCTCCAGGTTCTCCTTCACTGCTTCGTTCCCTCCCTATCATCGCCCCCGCATCTTCGCTTTCCTCCTCCTCTGCTATCTTACCCTCGTTTCTTCCACCACGTAGTGCAGTGAGGAAAACGAATCTGTGCAGATGATCATGGCAAATCTTCGAAACTGGCGGATGAAGCTTCGTTGCTGGTTCAACTTCGAGGCAGAGGACAACGATCAGGACGAGCTGTAAGATGATTGTAATAAGACGAGGAGAGGAGACTTCAGACGTCGCCATGGGATGGGGATGAGCAGGATGAATGTTCTAGAAGCCCCTGATCATCTTTCTCCTGCTCCTCCTGCTCATGCTTCTCCTCCTCCTCCTCCTCCTCCTCCGTCTCGTTGTGGTGGTGGTATCCCGCTCCCCTTTTCGCTCGTTCCAACCATGGATGGACTTATCCTGGCAAAACTTTGAAACATTACAAACATTTGAGCATTGAAAATTTTATTGAGGAATATAGCAATAGTTAACTCCTCAGTCGGAGTCTGATGAGCCATTCGCTAGCTATCTGTCGCCGGGCCGGGGCCCGGGCCCGAGTAGATCTGCAACCGGATCAAACAGGAAGAGACGTGGGAATCGATGCCACGGCCCGGATAGTGGGCCGGCGGGCCCGGGGGGGCTTCACAGATATCACGAGCGGGACTCGGAAGTGTCACGTGCCCCTCTCGCGTACTCGTCCGACCACACCAGCATGTGCCGGCTGCCGGTGAACAAGTCTCTTCCCCCATCGTTTGCAGCTGCTGTTTTTATCGAACTTTGCCATTACTCATGCAACCGAAGAGGAGGAGCTCGTTCTGTGGTCTCCCCTGCTGCGGCCGCTGCCGGCTGATGTGGCAGCAGGGCGGAGGAAGAGTGGACATGAGCAAGAGCGAAGTGACGGGGAACGAGGGAGTTGGCTTGTCAGCGAGAGACAAGGAGACCTTGGTGGACGAGGACAAGGAGGGGATCGGGGACGGAGAAGCAGGAGGAGGAGGACAAGGAGGAGAAGGAGGAGGCGAAGGAAAAGCAGGAGGAGCAGGAGAAGCAGGAGCAGGACGAGCAGAAGCAGGACGAGCAGGAGGACGAGGGGGACAAGGAGCAGGAGGAGCAGGAGCAGCAGGAGCAGGAGGAGGAGGAGCAGAAGGAGCAGCAGCACGAGCAGGCGATGAAATCTGAGGAGGTGAACCTCGACAGCTGCCGCATCGAAGAGAACCGCAAGGAAGGTCTTGTTGCCGCTGCCTTTGCTCCGGAAGTTTTTCAGTTCTCAACATCTCCATGACGTCTTGGAGGTGATGGGCAGTAGCTGTAAAGTGAGCGCCAACGGAGGATGTGGCGTCTTCGCTGCTCTTCTTTTGCATCTGCTTCTTTACAACTCTGTTGCTGCCGTTTGATCTCCCTACAGGGAGGAAGCATCGCCCTCCACAAGAGCAAAATCTCCTCGAACCGACAGCATGGCACAGTAGGGCAGGTGCGATAAGGTTCTTCGTCCTTGTCTTCCCATGGTCTTTTCTTCTCCTCGTAGGCTGACAAACAGCGCAGCTCAGCGGCAGCGTCACAATGAGAGCCACGGACTATCGTCATCAGGAATGCGATCAGTGGCATCTTGGTGGGACACCTGGCCTCCACGACTGGGATAAAGGCTGGCAAGGTGACCTGAACAATCTCATGTGCGATTAACGATCTGCTTGCTGGTAGCGGAGAAAGTCGACAAGTCTTAGTGCATGGAAGAAAGTCGACAAGTCGTAGGTCCTGTGTGCAAACTGAAGAAGTGGAGGGAGGGAGGGAGGGAGCGAGGGAGGAAGGAGAGGGAGCGAGGGACGGAGCGAGGGGGGAGAGAGGGGGAGGGGAGGAGTGAGATAGGGAGGGAAGGGAGGGAACAGGAGGATGAGAGGAAAGGGAGTATGAGGGAGGGAGGGACGGGGAGAGGGAGAGAAAAGCAAACGATTCAAATTTCATTCCCGTATTGTTTCTCATTCTTTCACGCATAGCGACAAATCACAAGAGCGCCTTTGGAAACCAACTGATGGGCTCAGGCCAGTTCTAGCTCTTGCGACATGTTCAGTGCTTGTTCAAGATTGAGGATTCTCTGTTCGAGCGAGATGCGCTTTTGGCTCAAATGCTTTGGCATGGATACCAAGCTGTCAAGACTATCATCCGAAAGGCAGCTCGCAAAAGAAAACGAAGCTAGTTTTCGCACGAAACTGGCTTCAAGAGCGTTGGGTACGTCATCGCCGTAGCGCTTAGCTGCTACCTTTCCTGCAGGAAGTCTGGTGTTAACATCGCACTCGATATCATGAGCATGCCAACGTACCGTAGGCATCCAACACAAAAAGCATCTCTTCGGCGACAAAGTCATCGATGCTCTTTCGCGTGTTCTGATTCAAAACTAACTCCACGGTTGCGAAAGAAATGTTGCCCGACCCGTCAGCTATGCTCTTAAGCAGTTGCCTCTGCTTGTCCACTCTTCGTTTGGTGATGTTGTCGGCAAAGTAATGGTTGAAGGTGGAGGGAAATTTCTCCTTCTCACAAGTGGCTTGCATGGACGCGACGCTTGCTTTGAACAGAGTATCGACATGATCCTTCAATACACACTCCATGTAGGCGCTGAATTTCCGAAGATGCTTTGCACGTAGTTTGATCTTTCCCATGACATGTTCTTCAATGTACTTTATGACAAGCTTCTTGATCTGCTCTGCCAAGTCCATCGAGAAAGGCATCCACTGAGATTGTAAGTGCGCCGAAACGATGGCATTGAAGATCGAAGCGTTCAAGAACACTGGCAAGTCGGGGCTACCTAATCTCTCAATTCGTTTCCTCATAGATTCAACGGCGGTAACGGTGTCGGTACTTAATTCAGCCAATGAGTATTTCTTCTTGAACAATCTGATTGTCGTGCCCGGGTAGTCTTCGCACATCACCAATGCCACTCCTTGTTTAGAAATCATAGCTTCGTCTTTGCTCCAGGACGACTTGGAAGACTGCAATGAAAGATTATTCACGCATGTCTCTTCTTCCAAAAAGAAACCAGTATCCGCGGGATTTTGTGGCAACAAGTAGTATTCCTTGACGGCATCCTGGAGTTGTTGCACAAGGGCGATTCGGGCTCGAATTTCATTTCCATTCACAAAAACGACGACAGAATCACCTGTCTCAAAAGAGATCGGGCACAAATCTGCACAAAAAGGGCTGCTGAAAATACGGCTGGCGAAATCCTTCTTTGCTTTCTCCATCAACGCGCGGTAAGTCCATCCATCGCTGCTTGACGTCTCGAAAACGTGATCTGTAGCAAACCCCGAGAGAAGCGTCTTCACGTCGGATTCTATAGATACAACGAACTCGCGGCGAAGGTGTGGAGAAGACAGATCAGTATCAAACTCCTTAAGATCTTGTTGCAGCTCTCGCTTCTTGTTTCGCAAATCCTCCAAAACTGCCGGCATCGTGGACTGAATCATTTCCACGTAGATCTGACTGAGCTTCCCCGTCAAGTTGGAGATACCGAACATGTTGTCTTGTTTCATTTGATTCCAAGGCGATGTATCTCTGAAAAAGATCATTTCTTGTTCGAGACTCTTTTCCAAGGTAACTCCCTGATCAAGCTCCGTCTGCGTGCGGCACTTGACGACGCTGAATCCAAGAGAAAACTTTGCCTCTTTACCCTGGATGAGCCTCATTACGTTGCCTTCAGTGCCTTTTTCGACCAGATCGATCTTCGTAATGACGGGGATCGTGCGTGCGGAATCTGGGTCAACCTCTTTGGTCAATCGAAACACTTCGTTGTTGTGACGGTCGATGTTGGCAGGATGGACGGCGAGAAGAATGCATCTCTTGTTGTTCAGGTACTGCTCCATCACACTTTGGATGTCTCGTATCATTTCTAAACTTTCACCATCACCGGTGCTGCGGACGATTCCCGGAAGGTCTATGAGCGTGAGGTTGGGATAGTTTGGTCCCGTCAGACAGATCTCAATGATGCTTTTGGAAACGCCAGATTCGGTCTTCTCGTGATCTAGAACGCTCTTTTGCAGCTCCTCGATTGCTGCGGTGACATCCGAAGCTTGTGTCACGCTCTTCTTTACCTCAGGGTTGCTTCCCGAGGCTGGCTTTGAATGCCAAAGGACCTGCATCTTGCACTGAAACTGTTCGCCCGTATCCATACACAGTCTGGTCGGGCATCTTGTTGTGATGTCGCTTCGAGAAGGAAACACCACTGACGACATGGCGCTCAAGACTGAGCTTTTGCCCGACGACGTGTCACCGAGCGCGGCAATTTGAGGCAGGTCGAGATCTTTTGCGAGATCGATGGCAAGAAGAAACTCTGAGAACTTCCTGCATTTCGCGGTGACGCCATGCAGACTGCCGCTCATGGTGCCGCGGTTCTCAGCTAAGTATTGAGGCGGATTTGTAGAGCTATGGGATCTTTCAAGCTTGATCTAGTAGGATTCGAAGTAGGTTCAATACTTTTCCTTTAGTTTTTTGTCAATTCTATTGTTTCACAATATTTCAAACCACAAACTTCCTGCCATTTCTACTTTTCCTCCTTTGTTTGTGTTCCGGTTTTTGCTGCCTTTTCCATTTAGTAGTATTTTGTTGAGGCGGGTTTGTAGGGCTTATCCTCATCTCCGGTTTGCCAGGGGGAATTTGAAGCGTACGAAATGGCGGGGAAAACTTTGATAACCATAGGAGAAGAGCAGTAGGAAAGGATGTCGATGAGAAGAAGAAGGCAGGAAGAGTTTAGCAAAGATGGGAAGAAGAACATGTGAATTGGAAGTCTTGTGGAAACCAGTCGTTGAGAAATCATAGATAAGACTTGTGATTACAGGAGGGACTGTAGACAGGAGGTGAAGGGATGAAAGGCATGCACCAGCTGTGGACCATGGTCTTAAGACTATAACAAACGTCATGCTGACATCCATACTCCTACTTCTTCATCAGCTTCAATTTGCGAGCTCCAAGTGCAACATAGCGATCCATGGCTCGACGATCTACCAACGTGAATGCTCTAGCGGCATTCCACAATTTTGTAGCAAAGGGAGACATCGAGAAGGTGAAGGACTTCGTGCAGGTGAGCTAGATGCTCATCAGACTCTGTCCTGACTGGTGTCCTCTTGAAAGGGCAAGGACAGGAAGCCAGGGCATGTACGAATAGCTGTCGACATGCAGGACGAGGTGCCTGGCTGCTTCCTCGAAGTTGCTGCTGGTCTCAGGGCACTTGGTGCAGGATGGACTTGCAGCTGTTCACTGGGCAGCCATGCGAGGGCACAAGAACGTCCTTCGTTACCTTGTAGGATGCTCTGTGCACATGATGGTACTGTGCCTAACCACTCTCGCTTCCCTTACCTACAGTTGGAGGGAGGCCCAGAGGGGAATCGTGCAGACCCGACCGTGCAAGACAAGGACGGATGGAGTGCCTTGACATGGGCAATCTTCATGGTTGAGCAAGGTGACCTTCATGCTGTTGATCCAGCAATGCCTCAAACGCCAGTAGAGCCGAAGATGCACGGGAAGGAGCATGCGAGCAAGAAACAGCTGCTGGAGGTGATCAACTACCTTTGCCAGCAGGCAGCAGTGCAGGAATACATCGAGAGAAGCGACAGATTGTTGAACAAGACAGCTGGTGAGATGGCAGATGAAATCTCCCAACAGTCTGACGAGGTGAGGCTCGTTTGGATCGTCTTCCTGCCCTGACCTCTGATTCCTTCAAAGGCTATCACTGCAGCTCTGAAAGGCCGTTGGGATGCTAACAAGCAGTACGGTGCTGCCAAGGTAAAGAAGGAGGTGCAGATGGTGGATGAGTGGAGGGAGGTGCAGATGGTGGATGAGTGGAGGGCGGCGTATTGCATAGCGTACTGACTGTTGTGGTTCTAGCTGCAGAAAATGTTGGCAGATACAGATGACTAGGTTGACAACATACAAGCGCGACATACAAAATCATCGGTGTAAATAGAGCTTGCGAGCTGCAAGATTTGGAATCAAATAAATGTCTCTTGTTCTTCATCGTGTCACCTATGGTGTACCTCTGTCGACTGTTCAGTCAGAACAGGCAAGACTCTTTACATTCAAAGCACCAATCTTTGTCAAACACTCTCTCCTCCATGACCCGCTCAAGCATGTCTCAGAATACAAACAGACAACACCATCGCCATGAGCTGTGTAAGCATACTAGTCGCGCTAAGAGTGTTTCCTGCAGACATCGGAGTCGTCGAAGTCATTGTGGTCTGCGCCTGGTAAGGGTCGGACTGTTGGATACTTCCCGACACGACAGTGAGAGAAAAGTCCTGGTTGGGGTTGACTTTGGCACTTGCGTCAAGATTGCTGGACAGCTGCTTGAGAGACAAGCCTCCGCTTCGTCTGTTCATGTGGGAGTTGAGCTTCTGGACAACCGTGTTCCCCTACCAAGAGTCTCGTCACGGCTGGGTCAAACAACGAGGCTGTAAATAAGCACCTGCTGTGTCGAGCTGGTGTCTACCTGCACTTTCAGTTGAGTTCCGGAGGGATTGGTCGTTGTGAGTTGCGTCGAGGCCACAGTTTTCACCTATCCCATCATCCAAGTAAAATACGGCATTCGCTGAGTGGGTCGGTTGTTTTACCGCAATCGGAAGGACGCTCAGGAAGCCGCCGATGTCAAGACCGAGCTGAAGGTTGACATGAGACAGTCAGAGCGGCGAGATCATTCAAGGCAATCCTCACATATTTGTTGGCTGTGTCTGAGTTGGCCGTGCTTGCAGAGTACCAACTATACTTGAGGTTGGAGATGTCGATCGAGAAGGTGATCCTTGGTCCAGCCTGACCTGAATGTGGCCAAATCAATCTCCTGTATCAGGGACTGATACCGCCAGCGGCAAGAGAAAGACATACAGGGGTCCGGGATGTTCAGTTTGCAATCCTTGGCGATTCCTGCTACAACGCCATCGATTGAAGGATTCAACTTGAGAAGAGACCCGACGCAACAGCCCATGCCCTGAGCTTGCACTATTGCTTGCTGTATCTCACTCTGTCAGAGACGAACCGCCAGGCCAGGAAGCATCATCGTCACCTTACACGTGTTGTCGGTAGGACAGGTTCCTGGAGTCGGAGCACTCAAGCAAGAAAGCCCTCCTGTCAAGACTGTTTGAAATCCGTTCGCTTTGTCTAGGCAGTATTGCGTTCCATCTAGAACACTCCATGTCACCATGACATCTTACACCTTGTACCCACAACTATCACCTTTCAGACACATCATCGGCGCGACCGTGCTGAGCATTTGCGGCGACAGGCCACTTGGAAGATTCTTTTGTAGATCTACAAGTCCATTAGCCATCATCTGTCACCCTCCTCTCAGTGGACAAGCAATATCATCGCCTCTCATTACCAACGAGCCACACTCCGAGCACACGTATGCAGAGCTCGTCATCGTGGCGTACGAGTTGGCGAAGCAATACTTCCCACTTGAGTCTTTGATCGTGCATACATATTCGAAGCCTTGTTTCATCATCATGGGATTTGCAGGAGCCGGACCAGGTGGAGGAAAGAATTTGACGAGAGATTCGAAGGCTTGCAAGAGGGCATTGAAGCAAGGAGAGGAGCAGAGAGTTGGTATCGCCATGATCGCCGTCTGCCTGTCCATACCCTGCAAGGAGGCTTCAGTCTTGATGACTTGAGAGATCAAGAGAGGCTCACCGGCTCAGTCACATTAGCTGCGAGAGAAAGACTGAGAAACTCCGGCAAGCAAAAACTTCCGTTCACGTTGAGACAAATCATGCTTAAAATTCCCTTCCCATTCATAGTCACGTTCTGCCATGCTTGCATCGCATACATCTTGATTTCCTGCGTCACGACAGACTCATTCTTCATTTCTGCCGTTGACATCTCCTTCACACACGACATGTTTGACATGTCAGGGAAAGAGTAGTTTTCAAGCTGAGATAAGCAACTGGAGATGTTTGCAAAAGAAACCTGACATTTGTCCATGAACAGTCCTTGGTTCGCAAACATGGACATGTTAATACTGCCTGGCTCTATCGGTATTCCCAAACACGTGGAAACCATCATGCTGGCATTCTTTCTGAGCTCCATCAAGTAGTCGTTAGCACATGGCGTCATGGCCGCAACCGAGAGGAAGTTGAGAACGAGCAAGGACAGCACAAGTCGGCTGCCGCTGCATGTTGCGAGCATTGCGACGCGTGTCCCTGTGCCAAGGGTTCACTCTAGCAGTTAAAAAGATGGGTCATAGCCGGTACTCTGTTTGCTCCACCGGTAATCCCGTCGCTCCGACTACTGCTGCTACTACCCCTGTTTTTGGCGTCAGACTACGAAATCAGGTAGGGTAGGGACAATCATTGCAGGGGTAGGGTGTATCAGGGGTAGGGTCGATCGATACGTTTTTTTTTGTTCAAATTCTTGATGACCCCACCCCCTGAACTCTCGGAGTTCCGGGAGGCTACACTTTCACACCGAGTACCCCTCCTCTGCACCACTGAAAACAGGGTACGTGCCCCCAGTCGAACACTGTTGTAAAGTTCGCGTTTTCCGTGTTCTAGAATTCCCGGCTACAGCACTAGTTACTTGAGAGCACCTCAGTGCTAGTGTCTTTTGTCTCCTCGTACTGACTTTAACTTAACTTTGAGTAAACTTGGCCATGCATTGTCCTCGTACTGATTTTTAACTTAACTGCAGCACTGAACTGCAGACTTAACTGAGTACAGTGCTGAGCGGGGAGGAGGGTTGGAATCATCGCATTTCCCGGAGCAACTGCAATGATGTAAACATAGAAGCGACGAGGTGGATCTCGATCTTGAAGGAGAGACGATGACGAGTCGAGACTTGAAGTGCTTGCAGATGGATGGGAGGGATCCTTCGACCCCTCTGCTCTAGAAGGGAACAAACCGTGAAGAGCTGGCAGGGATATGTGGAGATGAATAAGGGGAGAAAACTAAAATTCTGCTGGGGTTCAGACATCCGGGTCGCTGAGCTCGAGCACACACCCTCACGAGATGAAGTCGATGCAATCCTACAGAAAGAGTTCAAGAGCGACAACCTCGAGTTGAGATACCACCCTTCCTCCGTGTGGAGGATCGTACTCCGAGTGCGATCGGGGCGACACCTCCCAAAGACAGAGCGCGAGGGGCTGACGAACTCGTTCTGTAGGGCTAGGATAGTACCGGACAGCCTCCTCTTTGAAGGATACAGCCGCGTTCCCCACAAGTCGCAAACGAAAGTAGCGAAGAACTCCCTCTCTCCGGAATGGAACGAGACTCTGACATGGAACTTGCGGGGGGATATGGACTTGGCAACCATCAGCGCCCTCCACTTGCTGGTAGAGTTGAGAACCAAGGGGAAGGATCAGAAAGAAGAGCAGCTCGGGCTCATCGATCTCCCCGTCCAAGATTATCTCGTGCGGAGGGTTCGTGCTAGGCTATGGGACGGGCAGGCAGCGGAGCTGGAAGAGCAACTCAAGTTGCTGCAGGGCGACTCGGGTGCCTCACTGCCTCCTGCGCTACAGCAAGCGAAAGTGGAGAGGATGCAGCAGAACATCGAGTACCTTAAAGATCTGAAGCGGAAGTCGCTGTCCTCTAGCGATGCATGGCACAGGGCCAGGTGGCAGCCAGGATGCCGCGCAGTCTGTCGTGGGCTGGACCCCAGCTCTCCAGACGAGATCTTCGTGCAGGGAGCAGACGGGCAACTGACCTCTTTGCACCTTGCTATCGACTTCGAGCTCAGCGATTACCATCAGAACTGTTTCCTCAACGCCATGTCAGACTTCGTCTCCAACTTGCTCGAGTCGTCGAGGGGGCTGCTGATGAAGAAGGCTGACAAGTACATCAAGGCTTTCAGCGAGCAGGGGCTGGGGATGGAGGACTTTCTGTCCAAGGACTTTGAGTGCATCGCCGACGACGCGAAGCTGGCGAGATGGAGGGTGACAGAGGCGAGCGCACGTCGAGTAATCTTGCAAGCCGTGAGGGAGGCAGGGTCAAGGTGGTTGAACTTCTGCGAACTGTCGGTGGACTGTTCGCATCCAAACATCCCCATGAAGCCTTCGGACGAAGTTTCGATCAGACGGGAGGAGCAGCTGCAGAGAGCATGCGAAGAGGCTGAGTTGTTGTCGGAGAAGGGAACCATCAAGTTGTTTGTCTGTGCACCCCTCAAAATTACCATCATGGAATGTGCGCAGCTCCCAAAGATGGACAAGCTTGGTTCTTGTGATCCTTATGTGAAGGTTGTAGCAGGAGAGAAGGAGTACTTGACAAGCGTGCGGTATAACACGATGAGCCCGTCTTGGGGAGCGGGGCAAGTGTTTTATCACTCCAGCAGAGAGTGAGTCGCGATAGTTGATGTTGATGTTGATGTTGATGTTGATGTTGATGTTGATGTTGATGCTGGTGTTGATGATTGTGGAGATGTTGATGATGATAACCAAGACATGGTTGACAAGGACGACAATGATGATTATGATGATGAAAGTGTTGAGTATCCACAAATCTCCTTGAAGAAAGTGTGTCTGTGCTGGTGAAGACGTAGCATGGTGGGTCAGTTTTGATCAAGGATGAAAATAGCTGCAGGTGGAACGAAAGGATGAGGATAGAGGTTTGGGATTTCGACGAGCTCAGATTGTTAAACATGGAAAAGCGGAAGACCAGCGTTATAAGATCCGATGAATTCATTGGATATGCCGAGCTGCCCGAAATGCACGACATCGTGAACGACGGGTTTTCACTTGACGATTATTTCCTTCTCGTTGATGAGAGGGGGGAATATGTTGTTGGCTATCAGGCGGACACTTTTGCTGATCAGGTTGTTGAATTCTTTTCTTTTACCCATCACTTGTCGTTCTCGTTTCTCCTCTCCCAACGTTCTCTCTCCCACACGATGGCTGCTCTATGTCTTGCCTGACTGTCTCCTTTCCTCTTCAGTTTTCTCGCATCAGGTTACAGATCCGAGCTAACTCGAGCAAAAGCGACCATGCAACTTCACTCGACGACGTCTCGCTTGTCCAGAGCCCAACAAAGTCCCCGACCTCTCCAAACTCCTCCCTTGACTTCAACAAGAGCTTCAAGTCTCAACTCGGGGGTGAGCGGGATGAGCTGCAGGCGCTGCTTTTCCAGCAGTTCACCACATTCAGCATGTACGGCAAGGAGGAAGGGACCCAGACCGGGGAAGGGGAGGTGAAGGCAGGGAAGAAGACGGAGGAGGAGCAAGAGAGCTTCGCGAACAAGGCGCGTCAGAGGGAAGGAAGAACGTCCCAGTATGAGATCATGCAGGGGAACCGGATTTACTCCATGAACTTCATTGAGTTCCTGTCCTTCGCTCGCGCAAGGAGCATTTCACCCTCCTATCTTGACAAGGAGCAGCTGGCCGAGTTTTTCTTCGCAGCCAAGGGGACGATCAGGAGGAGGATGCTTGAGGGAGATCGGGAGATCGATCTCGAGCAGTTCAAGACCCTTTGTTCCCTCATCGCTGATTTCTTCCGCATCACAGTGAAAGACATTCTCCTTGGAAGGATAGAGGAGGCAGTCCGGCAGGTGGAGGAGGAGGACGAGGAGGACGAGGAAGAGGACGAGGAGGCAATCGCGTTCGAGCGGCTCAGGAACTATCCTCTCCACGCTGCTGCCAGCACCGGGGATGTTTCCAAGTTTGCGGAGGAGCTGCTGAAGTGGAGAGAGCTGCAGCAGAGGGAGGCAGACCAGAGGAAGGGGATAGGAAGAGACCTGCCTTACCTCGTGAGGATGATGATGAGGAGGAAGCGAGCCAAGGAGTTCAAGATCTCCATCTTCAAGAAGGACAAGCAGGTTGCCACCTCCTACCTCCTCAATGAGCAGATCCTACATCGAGGAGACGCCGGGGGCTGGACTGCCCTGCACCATGCTGTGTCCCGGAGGAAGATCGGTGAGGAAGTTGCCTCCTCCTCGTGAGCCTGCTCATGTTGCTGGGCCTTCTTGTCAGATGTTGTTCAGTTCATCCTGTTGGAAGGATGTGACGTAAACATCCCGAACAAGGTGAGGACTTGATGAACTCTTCCTGTGCTCCACGGCTCCTCTGCTCTCCTCGGCTCTCCTCGGCTCTCCTCGGCTCTCCTCGGCTCTCCTCCTACAGCTCCAGCTCCTCTCCTCTCCTCTCCTCCACCTCTCCCCTCTCGTCCCCTCTCCTCACCTCCTCTTCTCTGCTCTGCTTTGGTTTCCCTCCAGTCTCATTCTCTACCTCTCCTTCCTCCTCCTCTATCCTGTTCTCTTCCCATCCCTTCATCTCTGCGCGTTCCAACTGACCGACCTTCAGTTCTTCCTCCGAACTCCACTCCACCTTGCAGTTCAACGGAGGGACCGAGAAATGATAAGAGTCCTTCTCCAGTTTGGTGCTGACTGGTCGAGGTGCGATAAGGATGGGAAGTCCTGTCTATCCTATGCAGACACAACCCTCATCGAAGCTGTTTACGACTTGTCCTTAAAGATGGGTATACCAGACATCTTTTCTCCACCCCACTGCCCTCCTTCCTGTCCCTTTCGTCTCTTCCTCCTTCATCTCTCTTCCTTCCCCTTCATTGCCTATCCTCCACTGCTTCCAGCTCTCCCCTCCTCCTGCTATCCAGATTTTTTCTCCTGTTCCGCTGTTCCAAATCTCTTTCATTTTCTCTGCTTCTCCTTTGTCTCTTCCTCCTTCGCGCCTCCCTCTCCACCATGTCCGAACCCTCCTTCCCTTCCTTTCTTCCCATCTCTCTCTCTCCCCCTTACAACTCGTTTCTCCTCTTTATTCTCCTCCTTCCTCTCCCCCTTTTCTCCCTCCCACCTCATCCTCTCCCTCTCCTTCCTTCCTCCCTCCCGTCTGACAGCTGCACAAAATTCAGACGACGACAAGAAATTGATCGACGACCAACAGCTCCAGCTCGGTGCCGTTCCCTCCTTACAGGAGGAGATCCGACTTCTTCCTCAAGAGCCCATCCTCGCTGCTCGACCTCCTCGCTGCTTCTCCCTCCTCCTCGGCGGTCCTCGGCAGGAGAACTTGAAGTTCCCCTGGCATTCAGGAGCGACGGCGAGTCTGGACTCGTTGTTTGAGGTAGGAAGATGTGACGAGGAGGAGGAGGAGGAGGAGGAGGAGGAGGGAGGTACTTGAGAATATTTTCTTATGCCAGCAACAGTTGACTACACGGGAGTTTGACTCCTCTCAAGGGAGTCAAGCAGACGTCAACAAGAAGGATGCTTCAACAAACTTCGGACAAGACTTGCCAAGGTGAGCAGGACGAGGACGAGGAAAAGGAAGAGGAGGAGGAAGAGGAAGGAGAGTGAGAGAGGATGAAGTGTCGAGAAAGTGGGCCTGACTTGATTTAGCGTTGTTGAGGATCACAAAAACTTCAAGGAGCTTGCTCGGCGATTTCGAATCAACGTGAAAGAGAACGGTGAAACATTTAACTCTGGGTGATGGAGATGATGATGGAGTTGCTTGAAGCAAACACCAACATGACAAGAAAGCAAACGTTACAGCAAGTGCGAAGTTTGTTTGAAGAACCCAACGCTGACATGTTCTTCATCGTCTACAGGTAGGATTGCTCACCTTGCATCTATATTTGCCATCACCTCCTCTTTCACAACCATCTCCTCCTCCTCCTCGTCCTCCTCGTCCTCCTCGTCCTCCTCGTCCTCCTCGTCCTCCTCCTCCTCCTCCTCCTCCTTCGCCATCTTCTCATTCTTTGCTCACTCTCTCTCTCCAGCGGACACGCGCAGAAGAAGAGTGGGAGATGGGTCGCTGTGGACGGTTACATAGACCTCTACGATATCCTCACTCTCTTCCATCAGGTCTTGCGATCTCCACCCCTCCTTCCTCCTCCTCCTCCTCCTCCTCCTCCTCCTCCTCCTCTTCAACCTCCTCCTCCTCCTCCTCCTCTTCAACCTCCTCCTCCTCCTCCTCCTCTTCAACCTCCTCCTCCTCCTCCTCCTCCTCCCTTCCTCGTCTCCTTCCTCTTCCTCCCTTCTTATTCTCCTTCCCCTCATCTTCTTGCTCCTCGTCTTCCGTCTCCTTCTCTCTCCTTTTCCTCCTCGGTCTTCTCCTGTCTCCTCTTTCTCCTCCTGCTGCTCGTTCTCTTCTCCTTGATCTTCATCCTCTCCCCTCCCACTCCAACGTCTCCATCCTCCTGACTGATGTTCAAGGCAAGAACAAAGCAGGGGAAGCAGCATTCTGACTCGCTGGGACCGAGACTAAGTCCTGACTCTTCCACCCCCTCCACCTCCTCTCCCTCCTCTCCCTCCCCCTCCTTCCCCCGTCTTCTCTCCCCTCCTCTCCTTCCCCCTTCTCCCCCCTCCTCCTGACCTCCTGCTCCCAGTCATCATCTCCGACTCCTCCTCCTCCGGCGTGTGGGCGGAGCAGCATCGGTCGCTGCGCTCCTCCCTCCCTCCCTCCTCAAGTCGCCTGCTCTTCCCGTAGCTCCTGAGGGGCTGGGGAGCAGAAGGTGACAGTATGGCAGGTACTCCACCATGGGAGGGAAGGAGGACAGGCGGCGGGCACAGCTCAAGACAGAGAAACCAACAATGGAGGGAGGGCAGGCGAGGGACGAGGATCTGATTGCCGTCAGCAAGTTTGTTGCGGTCTGATGCTCCCCTTGCTCCTGCTCCTGCTCCTGCTCCTGCTCCTGCTCCTGCTCCTGCTCCTGCTCCTGCTCCTGCTCCTGCTCCTGCTCCTGCTCCTTCCTGCCCTTCACTTTACTCCTTCTCCTTGTCTCGACCTTCTCTTGTTCCTCCTGCTGCTCCCCTCCTACCATCCATTCTACCTCCTCCTCCTCCTCCTCCTCCTCCT